TATTATGTTTATAGGTGTCTTTAATTTCAGGGGGTTCAAAAATTAATCACAATTTACGCATTTAAAAATGTATTCATACATATTAATATAGTCTACTGGTATATGAACTGTTCAAAATCAGGTGTAGAACTAAACTAGTATAGCGAAGGTCCATATCGATTTGAGAAAATATTTTTTATTCAAATTGGCATTATTGGATGTTAAGATATAATTTAGGTATTTGATTCTGTTGTTTAGTAATTTTTGTTTAGTACCTACGTCCTATTTAAATTTGATGTCTATGCAAGACTTTGCAGTCATGTATTACTTACATGAGAGAAAAATTATTGAGGATTATCTTTTAGTGGAAAAATGTATATTCATTGGGTATTCCATATATTATGCAGATATACCTATTTCATGCATGAAACCATTAAAAACTAGTGTATGGATTTACAAGAAAAAAGATATAACTATCTATTGAAACATTTTATACAAAACAAAGCAAATATTTATTTAATATTTAAAACTTTTATAAGATAATTTACCGCTACATTTGTAAATACCATGAATTAAATAAATTACTAGTTGTACTAAATTAAAATATATTTAATATTTTTAAATTTATACTAATCCCATAACTGTTAGAGGTTTCCTAATTTTTTCTTAATCCAAAATATTTTTTCTTTAAAACAAGAATTATTTGTTGTGTTCCATTTTGTGATTCTAAAAGGAAAAACAAATTTACATACTTGCCACTAATATAGGTGAAAAGTTGGGAAGGTAAAGGGGGAATTTAATGTTTATCTATATGTAACAATTAATCATTATTAACGAAAAACGATTCTGAGCAGAGTTCAGTTATACATGTTTGAAAGGCGGTAATATTTACGATTTGAAAATATTAAATTTCGTAAATTTTCTAACATTTTTTCCCATTAATTAAGAAAATCATTGGGAAAATCAAAAAATTACCTCCCTAAAGTACCACAGCAGTCAGATTTTCTTTCAAAAAAGTGCTACGATTTTATCTATATCGTGGTTTGATTGAATATGACTATTTACTATATTTATTATTTTGATTTAAATTTTAAAAAAATTCGTAATTACACGAACATTTATTAGAAACTAAGTAAATTAATTATAACCTTTAGAAAATAAAAATTACCAATATAAAATTTCAGAAGTATGCAAGTAAAAAGTTATTTACTATGATACAGTGGCGTAGCCAGAATTTTGAAATGGGAGGTGGTGGTTTGAGAGGAGTTCGGTTAATAGTGTTTTGTCAACAATATATAATATAATATGTCGTATTATTGAAAAATAATTGCATAATACCTATGCAACCTAATGCATACCGCATTATATATTTTCTTTATTAACATTTGTTAAATATATTTCCTATTTTCCTGAGTTTTTTCTGATTTTTCCCATGTATTTTCCCGGTTATTCACATTTATTATGAAAACAGCTGCGAAAAACAAAAAATGACTTTCCTAAAGTATCACACTAAACAGATTTCTTTTCAGAAAAAATACTACACTTGAAAATGGGAGCAAAATTTCTTGTAAAAACTATGTTCATAAAAAAAAAAAATTATCATTGTAAAACCAATACATTCCTCACTCCGCTCAGAATCTAAAACGGTTACATTATATTAAAATAATATATATATTTTAAATGTCAATTCATTATCAGTATACATTTAATTCCCTCATTGTGATCATATTGGGTATCCGTTATATTTTAATGTGTGATAATACGTTAATAGGTATAAATCTATACCTATAAATATATATACCTATATCTATAAATCTATCTATTTTTTGTGTCAGTGTTTAAGATTATTTAGGTTAGGCTATATAATAGATTTTATATATTTCATATTTTTTTTTTCATAAAAAATATTTTCAATGAACTGTAGTATCAACATTTTTTTGTAATATTTTTCAATTTTATCCACAGGATAAAAACCTGGCTCTGGGGTACAATTAATTAATTACCGATGGTAAATTATTTAAGACTAAGAGACTAAGAACATGTTTCACAAATTTTAAAGAAACGTCCAATGATAAATATAGCGAATAAACAAAAGCGACTCATAATATTTTACTTCTTTTAGTAGTTAATATATCATTACCTATTAATTAATTATACTAATGAAATAATGGTAATTAATTTTTTCCATCAGATTTTAATACAATTGTCTTTCTTTTTTTGCTAGTATTGTGCCGTTTTCAGGTAAAAGTGTTTATAATATCAATTATATTGATAGTAAGCCGCTATTATCGATAATATAGCTATCTTAATATTGGAAATCAAATTTTTCATAAAAGTGATTTTTTTTTTTGATAACAATTGGAAGGAAGGTTAGATTTTTTCGTACGTAAGTAAGAAAAATATACCCGGGTCACTTTGCTCGAAATGATTGTGATGTTGTAAAATAGTGAAATAAATAAATTAAAAAACACATATTTCTTTAAAGAATAGTGTTTTTTTTTATTAATTTTGAAAAAATGTGACTTTTATTTTGAATTTTTATTCCAAAATCAAATATTGAAAAGTAATTTGGTGGTTAGAAAAATTCACTCTGTTCTACGCGAACATGTTTGTGTGCATGTACACAATGACCTAATGATCGTTTACAATACAGTCTCCGGAGTAATTTTTTAAACTTATTGAATTCCGACGATTAAATATCTGTAATAATTATTATTTTTTTTGTGTACAACTTTTCTACAAGAAATCACCTGTTAGCATCTTTTCTGATAGAAAATCGTACTGGGAAGGTACTTTAAGGAGACAATTTTTTGATTTTCTCCACACGTTTTCCCAAAAAATGGGAAAAACCGAGAAAAACATGGGAAACCGATAAAACCGTAAGAAAAACGGGAAAATCGGTACAATATTAAACATATAATTCAAAAGAAAATTACCTTTATTAAATATAATGGTAATGCCTATGTAATTATTTTATCATTATATAGTAGATATATTGTTGGCAAAGCAACACTATCAATTGAACTCCACTCAGAATTGTATTTTCGTTGGTAATGGTTTACCGTTGCTTACAGATGCACATTAAATTTCCCCTCTACTACCTTTCCAACTTCACACCTATAATAGTAGCTGCACCCACGTACTACGTCTTTAAATATTTCAAATTCGTACTTTGAATTCCACTTCAATGAAAATGTGTTTCATATTAATTCAATGTATCATTGTTTTAAAAGTAATTTTTATTTTAAGTAAACATAATTATCGAGTAGTCGTTAAAATGTTATTTTGTGATTGAAAAGAACAAATTTATATACTTCGTACAAGAGGTGTTTGTTGTAGAAAAGAGGTTTGAAAGGCAGAATGTAGAGGTGAATTCAATATTTATCTATACACAATGTTTAATCATTGCCAACGAAAAACGATTCAGAGAAGAGTTAAGATATACATGTTTAAAAGACCATATAATTTACGATTTTTGTAAAAACTTGATATTAAAATTCTTATAAAAAAAATATACTATATTAAACTCAACTTTTCCTTATTGATCACTAAGTACAAATTATACCAGGTGATCCATTTAAGTGGGTAAACTCATTATCTCGGAAAGTATTAACTTTTTCCGAAATTTATTTACTAGAACATTTAAGAAACAAGCTGTTGTACAATTTTATATTTATGTTATTTTTTGTCACCCTTATTTTAGGAGATAAAACCACTACCTAATTTTGATTTTCAAATGGTAACCTATACTAAAAAGTCCATAAATAGAGTATAGATGGAGTATTAGTTAAAATAAATTTGAATTATAACATTTTTGGTTTCCATTGATCTGTTGACGATATATTCCACTTTTAAGTTTAGGTTGGAGGAGAGTAGTGGCGTGTCATTAGTGTGGTGGTACGTCGCGTGACATAATATTAATGCACCACTACTCTCCTCCAACTAATAATTAAAATTCGAATATCTCGTCAACAGATTGACAAAAATAAAAAATGTCAACACCCAAATTTAATTTAAAATTTATTTGTGAAATTTTTAATATAGGTTGCCATTTGAAAATCAAAAGTGGGTAGTAGTTTTACCCCCAAAAATGAAGGTTATAAAAAATAACATAAATATACAGTTATAGATCTAGTTGTTTTTTTAAATGTTCTTGAAAACAAGTTCCGATAAAAGTTGAAACTTTCCGAGATATTTAATGTATCCACTTGAATGTATCACCCGGTAATCAATCTCCCGATAAATCTTCAAGCATTTCTATTTGGTCTAACTATTTTATCAGTAGTGTACCTACAGATTAAAATACTTTACATTTTCGAAAAATTGGAATGTCTATAAATAGCTTTAAAATGGCTCAAATGTTTAAAAATTCCACTAAATCTAGAAAAGCAAATATTAGTTTTTTGTTAAAATTTCAAGTTTTTAAGAATATTTTAAACTGAACTTCAAAAAAAAAAGCCAGATTGAAAATTCGTAAATTGTCCCATTTTTCCTACGTGTTTTTTCAGTATTACTCAATTATTAAAAAAACAAAAAACGGCTTTCTTATTCATCATCTAATTTAAAAATTCAACAACATCGTTTTTTATTTCATCATTCTTATCATTATCATTTTTTATTGGCAAAATATTTCTAGTAGAAAACATAATGCGTACATGTTTAAAACAATGAAATCGTAACGCCGTAAATTTTATAGTTTTCACTTTTCGTCTTTTTTTTTTTTTGGTTATTCCTAATTATTATGAAAACAACTTGGAAAAAAATCTACTTTCTTCGTAAGAAACTAAATCCAAAATATAACAAATAAAGTCTCTTGTCGTTTTTTTTTTATTGAAACACGTTTTCTAAGAGAAAATATAATAAGTTACAAAAATGTAAAATTATGAAATCATTACGACGTTAATAATTGTCCGTTTAACCCTTTATTTTTCCAACGTTTTTTCGGAATATGACGTCGTCGTCGTCGCATACCACCGACATGCTTGCGTTGCGGTCGCGGCGTACAAACAGCCGCGCCGCCAATACACTGTCATACGTAAACGCGTAATAAACAACATTATATCGTGAAGGCCGGAGTTCTCCTCGGGAGGCCGTTCTCTCGGCGGCGGCGGTTGTGTTCACCCACGACGACCTTTACGAATAACAAACATCATGATAATTATTTTAGGTTTAGTAACTCGGTGAGCGTTGTTCGTATAATTTAGAATAGTGTTATTGAGATACCTACATATCTACAGTATAAATTATAATAGTATGATAGTTGTTTGACAAGACTCGAAGACGAGGCGCCAAAGCTACGCGGTGGGGCGGGATATGCAAGGCTCTCCCCGCGTTCGTCGACACGACACCCAAACGAACAGCTCCTTACCGCCGCTCCGCCACTCCACGGGCCCCACTCTCGCGATAAAATGTCGCGTTTATCGACTCCGCGGTTAGGTTAGGTTAGACGCTGGCAGACGCCTAAAACATTTGTTCGACAGCTCGCCGTTTTTCGTCGCAATAATATAGTTTTTTTTTTTTGTGTGTGTGTGTGATAATATCACCTATAGTTTTTTCGTTTCTCGCGCGCGTCTTTCTTCGTCTGCAGACCAATCGTCGAGAAACGCTCTGCCACCACAGCCGTCCGACCATCGCGCATCGTTAACATGAGTCCGCAACGGCCGCTACTACGGAGATATTCGATAACGATGCCACCGGTGAGTGTCGGTTACCTAATCATATTCTCGAGAGGTTGGAGGGGAGCAGCGTTAATGATTTTTTGGTTTTTGTTCGGTTATTATTAACCGGTATAACTATATCCGGTTTATTATTTCGTTTATCCGAAAAGATCCGCGGTACTTTATATTTGAAACAAATGTACAGATTCCAATAGTTTTTCCAAAGAATTTAAAAAATTACAAACAATAAAATTATCGATGCATCTGTTTTAATTGCATTTCTTTCTGAATTGCCTTTCTGACTACACGGAAAACAAACACCATTAATACTATCACCTGACCAGTTTATTGCTCAGAATCGTTTTTCGATTGCAATGATTTATCATCGTCTTTAGTGTTAAAGCTAAATTGATTTTAAATATTCCATATACCTTCCAAAATTACAACGGTATGTCCAGCTTTCTTTGTTGATATTTTTTCGGTAAACGGTTATCATTTTGTACGGTTTATTGGTATAATAGGTAATTATAATTTTACGTATATTTTCTCCGATGTGGTCATCAGTTCGTATATGATTCAAATAGTCGATAATAAGTAATTCGTGTTACGAGAGGGATTTGGACAGACATCTTCAGACTATCATACCGAATAGTAAAATTATTTATGCACTATTGTAAAAAGACACGAGTAAAATAAGATTATTTTATATTATTTTTATTTTTACAATAGTATATATTTTGTAGTATAGAGCTGTTGACGGCACACAATATAAATACTAAACGTCATTATTGATATGGTCTCAATACTAATCAATTGTTAATAATATGAAAACACTTTGAGCTTGTTAAAGTTCAAAAGATCCCCGCTCCTTTTTAGTAAGTTATTGAAAATGACAGTTTTTGAACATTATTCTCGTATTGTTCATAACTGTTTCGATCAGAAACTACACTTTCATGGAGTCTTGGGTTTTGACTGTTCATATTGTCTACGGTTAGGCAAACATCGTACGTAATTTATTGAAAATTAATATTATAACACGGGAAGCTTTACAAAGACAGGACTAAACACTCTATTGTTCTTTGTGTTGTGTATACAATTAAATATAATACATATTAGTTACATTTAAATGTTTATATAGGTAACAAAAATATTCAAAGACTTAATATTCATCACTATAATAGTTGGTCGTTCCGTATAAATATGAGAACCTACATTAGACCTAATGACCTAATAGCCTGCATTAAATATGCATTGATATTGTTAATGTACCTATGTCTAACTAGTTACAATGATGGATGATGAAAAAATTATAAAGACCATAAGTTATGATTATATATACATAGATATTTATTGTAGATTACTTCAAAATACAATATTCAATAACATTTAAAAATGAACCATGTATACAATTATGATTTTATACGGTTGAACAAAAATTAACAACCGATAATTATTATTATTTTATAAAACATGCAATGTATATATTATATAATAAAAATTACATTTTTGTAAAATAAAAAAAAATGTAATGATAGGTAAGTATATTATATTATTATTTTTATATCATTAACCTCCATTTACTTGACCGCATATTATATATTTAGGTGAATTATTACCTACATCGAAAGCTAAAAAACAAATACTTACAAACTTTTTTCGTTCTTCGTTTTTCATTTACTTTTTTGTTAATTATTGCGGTTTTAAAGCATCCTTCTGTTCAATTACGATCGTTTTACAGTTTACAATAATAATAATATTAATACATTTTTTGAACGAAAAACAAGATACAGCGTTGAACTTGTAATAATACTATACTATGGTAAGTAATCAGAGTATATATTAACATATAAAGCAGGAAATACTATTGTGTCACTTAGTGAAGAATTAGTACCTCCTATAATGAATTAATGGATGTGCCACGGTTCCATCGACTTTTATTCATGTCAAATTGAAATAATAATATATTGACTAATATTTTGCGCGGATAATAATAAGTCGATTTCAATTGGCTCGTGTAATCAACGAATATTCGGAAATTTTAACTTTAAAGTGTTTGATAACCAATAATAATTACTCCAATTATTCCGATTCGATAATAACCTACGGAGTTTTCTGGATTATGTAAATATATCAATGATATAAATAGTAGGTGGATCAAACTAATTGTATAGGGTAAAGGCTAATTCCTTAGTTATAGTGCCTCCCAGTCAAAATTCCTTAAAATATGCTTCAAAAGTAACAATAATTACTTAATATGCATATTATATTTCTATCAAATAATTTATAATGATGGCTCATGTGTAAATATTCAGTAGAGACTGTCTTCCGAATCCTGCAGCTCATAATCTAACCAATAAATACACATTATATACATTCGTAATAAATAATATTATACAGTATCTAATAAAAAATTTCCGACACTTCGTTTATTCCCAATTTTTCAATAATCTCAATTTATATAAATTAATATATTGTTTAATCATGATAAGATAAACAACAATAAAGTAGAATTATTTTAGTATTCCAAACGAATCAAATTCAACGAAATAACCTACAGTACCTATATTATATGCATATAATACACACATAGTATACAATTCCATTATATCAATCATATGTGACCACCCAATTCTCTACCATCTATATCGTTTTGTTTAATTGTTTTTAGATTCTGAGCGTAGCGAAAAGTGTGAATGTTTTTGTTATTTATAAAAAGACATTTCTACCGGCATTGTTCCAATTGCTAACATCAAGGATGATTCTTTCTGGTAAAACATTTTGTCTAGTTGGTGCATTAAAGAGATAACTTTTTTTGTTTCTCTTGTAATTATTCGGGAAAATATACGTAATAACGGTTTCTGTTATATCCAAAATTATTTATAATTCAATACGAAATAACCGTAGACTTGTAAATTTCACCAAATACTTTTATAAGCTATTTCTAGACGTGATGAAATGTTTACGTTATTTTAGCCCATTTGTTAGGCATTTATAGCCATTTGAAACGTTTGAATTTTTATTTTATTTTATGTGAATATAATTTTGATGATCCAGCAAATACACTTGGAAATTTAACACGAGATTTGTCATAAGTGTCGTACCTAGTGGTAAAAACAAAATTTGATTGTTATTTAATGATTTTTTTTATAAACCTTTACTATTTCAGTTTAAATTGTTATCCAAATCGTAAAAGTTGTGGCATTAAAAAATATGTTTAACCGAACTTCGTTTTTCATTAAATATGAATTTATCGTATAAACTAAATTACTCTATATAATAATATCCTAACTTTTTATCTTCTCAACTACAATAGTGGCACACCCATCAGTAGTATTAGTTTTTTTTTTATGTTTTCGGTTTTTATTTCCAGTGGTTCATTTTGTTATTCACAACGATGTTTATGTTTTTGCAAGTAACACAGGCACAAAATGAAAATATTAATGACAACGATTCTGACAAATATTACACCGGTGAATACAGTATATTCCCAAGACCCTCTGAAGCAAACAATAATACATTTGAGATAAATGGCATTCCCGACAAAAATTGGTTGGATACTTTTCCACCACCACCAGAAGATCAATTTTTGTCCACATCGATTCCATCATCATCGCCGTTACCACTTAGAATCGATGGATGTGTGTGCGTAAAGTTTTGGCTTTGTCCCAACAAAACCATTATTACAGATGGTGCTACTTTAATAGATATTAGGTTTGTTTTATTTGTATCTATATTATATTATATTTTACAACTCATCCCTATTATACTACGAAATTTAGATTTAGCAGTGGATTTTTTATGGAATGTAAAATTTAAATTTAAATTTAAATCAATATCATATACAACTTTATTATCTATAACCGTGTTTATGAATTTTGATGCTAAAATTACTGTATTCAAATTTTGATAATAAAATGGGTACCACGAGAAAATTGTTTGACATTTGTTTTGTTTGAGGAGGCACTCTGAAAAACTAGTAAAAAAGTGAACTAAAACTGCACCACTAAGTGACTGCAAAATTACAACACAGAGAAGGTAGTCAGTGTCCCGAACTTATATTGTATAAGATTTGAAATGTTAGGTTTCAAAATCAGTGATAACCCATACAAAGTATTAAATTTAAGTGTATTATCTATGAGATTCAAAATATTGTGATCAAATTACAAACAACCTTTTTTATAGTAAAAAATTAATGTTATATATTATTCATTATATTATACGTATTATCTGCATCTTCAAATTTTAAGTATGTTTACAAAATGTATAAGATATATCCATATATTCACACCTGTAAATGACACCAATGATAGCGAGAAATGTATTGGTTGGTAGCCCGTCAGTTAGTCCGGTAAATAATATCCGGTGATAATTGATCCGTGACATTTGATTCGGTTCAAAAATAACCTGTACCAAAAATATTCGGCTAAAAAATGTCCAGTAAAAAATAAAATTTAAAAAATACGAAACATACATTGATAATTTTAGTTTCATAATTTTCAAAAAGGTAAAAGATAAAAATAAATAAGAATTAATTAATATTTCAAATATTATTTAAGACAATAATATAAAATATTATAATGTTTGTTTCATAATTTTCAAAAATGTCAGGTAAAAATAAATTATGAATTTTTGAGTATTTATTGATGTAAATTTAATTTTAATGTCAAGATTTAGTCCTATACTAAAATCGAAAGTACATATATTACACGCTCTCCGTCACAATAATAATTTAAATCTGATATATCGTTGATCGCTGATAAGATTCGTTTATTTGTAGTATTTGACACCGTTTTCGTAATCTTTATATAAGGTAGACCATCCGCTTATTGCATTCTATAATGTTACAGATCATTATTTAATTTCACTCTTTACCTTTTTGAAAATTATGAAACTAAAAATATCAATGCACATTTCTTTTTTTTTACCGGGCGTTTTTTAGCCTGATATTTTTAGTAAAGATTATTTTTGAACCGAAAATGTTACGGATTAATTGTCGCCAGATATTATTTACCCGACTAAATGATGTAGAACCATATTAGTTTTACTATTATATAATGTGTACTTTTTACCAGAAATCTTACCCCAATAATTAACTTCCGGTGTGATTTCCGGTAGTACATTTGGTCTTGGTATATTTTTGTAATTCAATTTAAATAAGTGGAGAATTACAATTTTAAATAAATATATACTAAATCACTTTATTCAAGAGAGTACTCTTGACTTATCACATACAGCGAAATATCTATTAACAGTATAAGCTCTTTTTTTAATACTGATCAATATGAATTTATAGAATCATTTTAAAATGATTTGAATGTATGAATATTATATAAATGAATATAATATGTATGATAATTAAATAAATAAAAAAACTGTTATAATAGTTATAATTATAGTTTATTGTTTAAAATCCGTTTGAAAACAAGAAATTTAGCACAATCGCATGTGAGCTTTCCTATTTGGTTTTATACTTATATTATAAGAGTATCGGTTGAAATATTAAAACCATGAATATTTTGTTTTTTCAATTAGAATTTGATTGAACTACGTTGTTATATATTATACAGGCTTAATATAAACAACACATGTGAAAACTACCTGGATAGATGTTGCGATTATCCGGACGATCCGACACCACCTAATGTTATTATACCTATGAAAGAAGAGCTTCAACAATGCGGAAAATGGAACTACAATGGCATTGCATTCAAAATAACGGGTAACACCAACAACGAAACGGATCCCGGTGAATTTCCTTGGATGGTGATCATTTTAAATTTACACCCAAACAATAAGACCCGCATAGAGTTATTGTGTGGTGGTTCGTTAATTCATCCAAAAGTTATACTTACTGCAGCCCATTGTCTAAGCAGGTGAAGTTTAATATAGTACAGTATTATAATAATATATAGTATTAAAAAAGAAAATTTGGTTGTTTATTGGATTTTAGAACAAGAGAAAAAAAATATAATACCTAAAAGATATAACACATTTTATTCATAAGGCCTAAATAAAGTAATATAAGTAAATAAATAGAGTATCCATGAATAAACAAACATTAGATTTTTAAATCCAAAAACGTACTTGACATTTCTTCTTCGTCCTTATGAAAATAAATTCGTAGTCATACTCAATTTCACATTACCCTATTAACACGGACGATATTTTCTACCAGAAAAAATGATTTAATTGAAAAATCACAAGATACCATTTTTATTGCCTTTTTGATTTACTCTCTTACAGTATCATTGCCAACACTTTTGATCTTTTAAGGAATTTTAATTTTTGGGAGTTTTTTTCCTGTAATTCGGTTATAAATATACGTAGAGATTGGAAACTTGGTATTAATACTTATATTGGACTTACCTAGACGTAGTAAAATTTTCGAAATTATCGAACTACTTTTTTTTTTTTTTTTTAATTAACGTTTTGAAATTAAATTTAAACGAAAATCACAAAAAAAAATTACGGCACTTCAAATTATGTATTACCGAACTGCGCTCAGAATCGTCTTTCTTCAATCAATGGTTGCTTACATATATAAATGAAATAACCTTATGTATCTTACATTCCCAACTTCTCACCTACAACAGTGGTCGTTTCCATCCCCAGTTTCAGCTCTTTTTTTTTTCATTATTTTTATATCACTTATCGGGTTATAATCCACACATTTATTTATACATCATTTAATTTTGTATATTTTTTAAAAAATACAAAAAATAAATTTTATTTTATAGGTTTTAAAAAATTTGAAGATAGTTATTTTATAGAGTTTATTATTCGAAAAATTGTAAAGTATAACATTTTATTTTCATTAAATTCATGATTTTTAATAATAGTTTAAAGTAAAGAGAAAATAGTTAGATTAAATTAACTACAATTATAATCAACTAGCGAATACATAAAAGCCTGCTGTATAGTTATGAATACATTTCTCTGAATTTTAAACAATTATTAAAAAAACAAAAATTTAAAGAAAATGAAAGTTGATACGTCAAAATTTCCAGAAGGATAAATTCTATAAAATGACTACGGAATATAGATAGTAAAATAATCTCCAAATTTTTCAAAAATAATAATAATAAAAAGTTTTATTTTTAAGTTTTTTATTGAAGCATACAAATTAATTACGATATAAATATGTGTAGTATCCTTCGAGTATTATAAAAAAAAAGAAAACAAAAATTTGATTATCTTTATTATTTTAGAAGGTATTGAAATGGTTATATCTTCGTTGAACATTAAATATTCAAAAAAAAGTTGTAGGTACACATACCCGTAACGATATACCAAAATTGTCCGGAAAATAATTCGATGGACTGTAAAAATCTATACTTTTTCAGTAATCATATGGACTATAAAAATCTGGAAAATGAAACACTGTAAATGTGTGGACTAGAATATTTCAGGGTATGAAAATCTGGAAATTATAAATGCCTTTACCAGAAAGTCCAGGACTTTAATAATTCGAAATACGCAATATACAATGTGTTGTGCGGACCAGTGACGTTTCTCGCATTTATTTTTGAGGCAATAGCTTGGTATACTTCTGGATATATTGTTTAATAAACGTATATTTTTTTTTCAAAAACTGCTTCACTTTTACTATTTCTTGTAATTAACAGAAACTTGTAAATTACTATTATTTATATATTACAGTCAAATTTTTTTTGAAAATATGACTTACAAAAACGTTTTTGGAATCATATTTTTTAAAATTTTACTTTGTTCTTATTTCTATTACCCTTTATTAGGGGAGGAGGTGAAACGGCTACCTAATTTTGATTTTTAAAGGAAAACCTATATAAAAAATTGTATAAATAAATAGAGTATTGGTTTAATAATGTTTGGTGTTGCTATTTTTAATTTTTATCAACCCGTTATCGAGATATTCCACTTTTAAGTTTAAGCGGGGATAGAAAAGTGGAGCATCATATGTGTGGCGGCGTTCAAATAATATTATCTCCGTTTTATTTAGTTGTTGAGTGACGGCCGCTGCTAACGAAGGTGACGGTCATGTGTCGTCTTCATGCGATTATTCTATTTATATCGAAAAATTCAATGAGGAACAACACCATCTATCGTCTGTCCGTATTAATAGTTTTTTTGAAATTCCGGATTATTCATGAAGTATTCTGATCTGAGCTTTTATTTTTCCGGCTGATTTCAGTCAGGACATTTACAACGTTTCATTTTCTGGAATTTTTCAGTCCGTATACGATTATTTTCCAGGATTTTCTAGCCATCCTTCGTAATGATTGTTTTTTTTTTCTACAAAAGTAATCTAAAACTGGAAGACTTGATCGTTCGTGCTGGTGAATGGGATTTAAAACAGGACCAAGAACTCTCTCCACACCAAGATCGCAAAGTTTTAAGAATAGTAAAACACGAAAAATTCTCAAAGGGTTCGGGATATAATGACATAGGGTTGATTTTCTTGACCGAACCGTTCATTTTACAACCTCACATTAGCACGGTCTGCTTGCCGCCTCAGGATTTTAAATTTCGTGAATCGGACGAAGAGCACTGCAAAGTCAGCGGATGGGGCAGTAATATTGGTAAGTAAAAAAACCGTTCTGCTGTTACAAAATACTTTCATGTCGAACGGCCTGTAATATCGATCAAACTTATCAATTAATGATGCATTGCTGATAAAATTCTCTGTTCTTACTCATAGACATAGACCCAGACTTATTTTGCTTCTCTCTGTATCTACAATATGTTGCATACCAAATACCGGTTCCGTAGTCTGTTTCTCTAATATACAGCAAATTAGTTCTTAGATATTGATGTTTTATTTCCGATTATTTTTTCTATAATTTGTTCTCTGTATCTTCAATCTTCATATTATAACTCGTCAATTTTATTCTTCTATAATTTCTAAACTTTTATACATATAACTTCCCTTTAAAAAAGGTAAATTCCACATATCATGATAGTTATCAAAAAGTTCAATTACAAAACTTGTAGACAATTTAAATGTTCAATATAAATATATTTATAAACAAGTTTATAATTTAAATTAAGACCAGACAAAATTTAAATTACAGATATTAAGCAGTATACAGTATATGAGGAGTTAAGCGCAACAGTGGCCTATTCCAGCAAATGGTTAATAGCAGTAATACAGCTTTTTCATTTCTTTGAAAACTTGATCGAAAAAATCAAGATTAAATAAACAATGTGTTTTATTAATTTTTATTATTAAACATTGATACATTTAAGACATAACTTTTATTAAGAGTTATTTGGAAACAAATCATGCAAAATTTTACAAATTTTTGTTGAATAGGCCACTTTTGCCCTCATACATAGTTGTTGTTTATGTTGTTTACTAAAAAAATATGTTTTTTAGGTCAGATATTGAAATGAAAATAATTATAATTTATGGCAATAGTATACAATTTAAACTTTTATTAAAAATAAAAGATGTTATTATAATTCATCGTTTTTTTATTTTTGTTGTAATATTATTTTAATATAATATTATATAACAAAAGTCGCCACATATTACTGCTGAATAGGTCATTGTTGAATTGTTATATAGTGCTGCAAACTGAAATCTAGTCTTAAAGAAAACAAAACTAGGCAGGTGTTACATGGGAATATTTTTAATTCTAAATAAAATTATATAATTATCTAAATTTATGATTTTTGATGGGTTAGGCCCCTATTGCGCTAAAACCCCTCATATTAGGGTGGCACACAAATTTTTTTATATTTTTATAGTTTTCTCGTGTTTTCTAGGTATATAGTATAATGAAAAATATTAATTAATTAATGCAGTTTAAAATTTTAAAATTTTAAATATTTAGATTATAAGATTAAAATAATAACTAAAAAGGAATACTCAATTTTATTTTTTTAAAAAGCTACCAAATATTGTATTTTATTTTATTATTAAATAATAAGCAGTTTTGAAATTTTTCTTAGATAAATTCTTTTAGATGAATTATTTTGTTTACAACATTTTTTATGTTTCCATTTTTACAACTTATAACTTATAATATTTTTTATGAAATGAAAAAATGAAAAAATGAAAAAATGAAGATTTAAAGAAATTTTAGAAATGTCAACTGTCTTGAGGCACGCTTTAGAATTAAACTCTCGTGACGAAATTCCACACATTTTATTTTTTATAGTTAAGTACTAAATTTAAGGGTGGCATAGTTAATATTTCAATCTTTTTAAGGACCTCCCTAATATACAGTGTATATAGAATGTTTTTCTTTTATAACTATTTATATCTATTAGTTTTACTTTTATGTCTAAACTTTTTTTTTCTGTATTCCACATATCATATAGATGGTGTTTATCAGGCTATTTTAAAAAAAGTCGATCTTTCGATCGTGGGCCGTGACACGTGTGAAGTCAAGTATAAACAGTCCTATGGCATGGCTTTCAAATTGCATAGCAGTTTCATTTGTGCCGGTGGGATTAATGGCAAAAATACTTGCAAAGTAAATATTTTAACATTTTTAATGGAGTGTTAGGTATTATAATCAACCAAAAAAATAAACCTATAAAATAAAGGATTTCTGGTTTTTTTTTTATGATTTAAGAAAGTAATTAAAAGTTTCTTTAATATATTTATGAAATAAACTTAAAAAATTAATAGGTATAATGTGAAGTTAATAAAAAAAACTTTTTTATTTATGAGTTCATTATAAATAACGACTAGATATTTGTAAATATAAACGAACGGGTATATTATTAATCAATAGAATTATTTATTTAAAAATAAAAAAATACTTACGGTTTCATCGGTACCGAACATTCAAGTAAGGATATTTAATGTTTTTTTTAATCATTTTGTTCATTTATTAAATTCGCAGTATAGGTACTAAAACTTTTTTCTGAAAAATATTTTGTTTATTATTGAATTTATTTTTCGGATATTTCTTATAGCAAACAATTTTTCAATTTCAAGTTCTCAAATAATTTTTTTAAAAATATTGATGTTATATAAGTCAAATATTTTATTGTTTTTCGTCAATTGTATAATTGTTTTTGTAAACGCACATTAGGAGTAGATTACAAACTGGGAAATAATTTTTAATTTCCTCCAAATTTTGTTTCTAGAAATTAAATTTTCATGACCTTATTGCCTTATGATTTCACTGTTACAGGGTGATGGTGGAGGCCCCCTGGTATGTCCAGTGTCAAGAAACTCAACACGTTACCATCAGGCGGGTATCGTCTCTTGGGGCATTGGGTGCGGTAACGGATATCCAGGACTGTACACTGACGTGTCTCAGTTTAGAAACTGGATCGACCAGCAAATGATCGATTTGGACCAGTCTTACTACGATGCGAATAACGTGGTTTAAACCTATATAATTTAATAATGTGTATCCTATATGTCTCAATATGTGATGCATATATGTGAATTAGTCCGGATCGAAAGTTTTATGATTGCCTAAGGAAGTAAAAAAATATAGTCGTACATATAGTTATACGTTTTAAATATATTATATTTGTGTAATAATGTATTATGCAAGGTAAATATTGTATAATATAACACTGTTAAAACCCAGCTATATTAACATGACATTATTAAATATATTTTTTGAGAGATGTCGATCATTATAAATTATTATTAATTACATAAATATTAAATACTAATCGATTATATGCATTTTTTTTTAAACATATCATCCCATACCCACGACACGACAAAACATTCTAGCAAAGAATGTTTTGTTGGTCTGTCAGCATCTGTCGGAATCAATTTATTAATTGAAATGTACATATGTCTATAGGTGTTTAGTGTGTAACTACTAAGCTACTAACTACGTATCTAAATTAAGTAAAATACGCTACGAATAATAGAAAAATTTACATTTTGACAATAGTTTAAAGTTTAGTTATAGTCTAGTTATGTACCTAGTAAAATAGTAATAATAATAATACTAATAATTGTAATAATAATAGTATAATAATAATGATTAGTAATATTATACTACAGGTAGTATTATAATATACTATTATAATTATTATTAATTTATCAACAAACTTTTTTACTATTGATATAGGATACGTATATATATATATATATATCACGTCGTTTAGAACATAATTTTAACATTATTTGACATGTTTGTTACTTTATCTGATTGTTTATATTTCATTATAAATTTCACTGATCAAAATAGTCTAAAAACATCATTGTTTACCCAAACACAATATCATCGTATCACGTTATTTGAAAATATTTAATTATTTTCATTTGTTGTGTCCGTTTGTCGAGTAAATACGTCTATAATTATAGTACTCGTATTTAATAATTTATTACTAATATTTTTAATTTAAAAATATTTAATTAAAAAATAAATGTTGAAATGCTCACAGAATTGGTTAGAGAACGGCCATATGAAACGAGCATGAACAAATAATATAACGATCGCATATATAAAGAGAATAATTATAGAGAAATTGTAACCTTATTGAAAAAATCAGGTAGGTAATAAAACAATAAATAATAGTATAATTCACTTTTTTAATTCTATTTTATTTCACTTACAGTAAAAGAATGTAAAAAACCTGGACCAACATGCGAGATTCGTTTAAGAGAGCTTTAAAATATGCAGTTAAAAAAATCTGGACAAAAATCTAAATTTTTTTTAAAAAAAAAATGAAATTATGAAGATTATAATATGCAGTTTTTAAAAACGCATATAAAAGAAAGAGAAAACCATAACTAAATCGATTTGTAAGTCATGAAAATGAATAGCTATTTGGATAGATAAGGAGGAATATCAACCGAAAAAAACTTGATACTGATCCCAACCGTAATGATGATATTTAAGATAATCAACAAAGTTCCAACATATCAATAGTAAATACAGCACCGCTAAAAGAGGTTCGTTTATCAAGTTGAATACAAAAGAAAAAAAACAAATTACCAAATTATCTTTCAAAAACAATTTCAACGATAATGAAATATATATATATATATATATATATAAGAAAAAAGATTTTCTTCATCTTTTTTCTTAAAGAGAAAAATAAGAGAAATGCTATGGAACATTTTTTTTTGTGTATATGCTTTATTGTTAAGCAATTATCTCCATACAATCAAAATCTTGCCAAAACAGAAATTTTTCTATCGTTTTCAAGATAGAATTATACAGTTTAAGTTAAATAAAACAACAGCAATTATTCCAACCAATTCCACAATCTATTTTAAACTTGAATTTACAACCTCGGAACCATGTAGGAAATTTTCAGATGTCACCTAGTTAACACCAACGAGACTATTATTAGTCACCAAATAACAGATTTTATACACTTCAACTGCTTCAACAACATAACGAAAATAATCAAGAAAAAGACACACATATTTATCTACCAAATTTTTTAAAAAATTCTGAAACAAGTACAGACAAAATCAACAAGACAACTTTTTATTTAAAAGAATATTTTTTTTCTCTTTATCAAAAGGTTTTATTAAAACACTGTTTTTTTTAACTTTTTTGAAAGTATATTTTATTTTTATGATATTTATAATATTTATTTTGTTCTTGTTTGAAAGAAATGTTCGATATTTTCGTGTTTTTACATGTATTTTTATTTGGTAGGTATCCAGTGTCAATCTAGAGTACCCGGATACTAGGCAATCACCGGGGCCCTGAGATTTATTCTAAAAATAGGGGTCCCACGCCAATAGCAGAAATTATAATAATTATTTTTCAATTTATTATTGTAAAAAAAATGTCCTAAAATAAATCAGAATATTGTTATTATAACGTTAGTCTTGAAATATGGCTGACGTGACAATAAAAATAATCTAGAACAATAGATAATCTAGCTTTTATGCCCCAAGAAGATCTGTATATCATGAATATAATATAGAAGAAATAATAGCTACATAAGATGACATACTTGTTAAAAAAACCAAAATGGGATGACTCACTTATCTTTCAGATGATGTATGAAATAACTTCAAAATCGTACTTATGTAATGTATACGCTTCATTTAGCTATGAAATAAGTATTAATTCTTCCGTATTTCAAACTGCATGCGTATGATTTCATTTTTCGAGATAAACTACAGGTGGGCCTAAAGGAATTTGGAATCCTTAATAAATTCATTCAGCTGGTTAAAGAGTGTCAATAGAGAGTCAATATTCATATATCTCGTGCCAAGTTAAATTTAGAAACGGTATATTACAACATTTTGAAGTTAAAACTGGTATTTAATAAGGGGATGCACTGTTACCTGTTATTTTTAACTTAGCATTTGAGAAAGTAATCAGGTTCATGCCATTGCACTAAGGCATGGAACTTTTATCAAATAATACGCTTTTTGCCCACGCAGATAATATAGCTATAATAGGAAATTAACGAAAAGAAGTCACAACGAGTACAAATGATTTGATTAAAACAGCAAAGTTAATGGGCTTGAAAGTAAACCAGGTTAAAATAAAATACCTAGTCATAACTATAGGAATAAGGGACACCTCAGACCTGGTAATAGAAAATTATACCTTTCGACAAGTAAACGATTCCAAATATCTTGAGGGAATATAAATCAGTACAACAACATGCCCAATGAGATAAAACTAAGAATGTCTGCTGCCAACAAGGGTTATTATGCTTTGGAAAAACTTCTTAAGTCAAAACTATTATCTATACCAGTGATGGCCAAACTATGGCCCGCGGACCAACTCCGGCCCGCCATCATTTATTATCTGGACCGCGAAAATATTCTGCATTACAGCACTTATTTGCGTATCTATAATATTTTACATTTACGTTAAAAAAAAAAATTGAAAAACTAAAAATACAGTATACATTCTCAAGTTCTGAAAATCTTGTTCAGTTTTATTTAAATCTGTCTAAAGAATATTTTCCAAATATTTAGAAGTTTACAGCAAAGATGTGTTGTAATATTTGGTTCAACATACATTTGTGAACAAGTATTTTCAACAATGAAAATCATTGAAAAAAAAAACTCGATCTCGAATTACAAATGAACATCTTCATGCCAATTCTATGAAATTAGAACCTAATATTAATATCCTATGTCAACAGAAACAAGCTCATAATTCGCATTAACAAATAAATACATTTAAAAATATTTGTATAAGTGTAAACCGATATTTTGTATACTTTTATATATATATATTTATTTGTAGTTATAATTAGGTAAATTAGTAAAATATTAAATAAAGCCATTAAAATGAGCAAGTACAATCAAAACGTCGTTAAATATGTAATTGTAATTACATACCTATACCTAAAATTCCAATCATTAAAATTTAAGGGAAAATTTTAAACTTCAAGCCCTCCAAAAGATGGAGAAAAAAAGAAGTATACTCTTTATATTGTATTTGAATTTAATGGTCATATGAAAATAAAATAAAGAATAATACATCCTCGGTATTAATTTATTATCTAGTTGGTGCATTGGGAGATCAATTTTTGGTTTACCTTTAATTAATTTTTTTTTTTTGAAAAATGTTGTTTTATGCACATAAATAGAAGTAAAAACCTAAAATTTAGCATAAATATTCTACAGTGATTTATTGTTTAATAATAATAATAATAAGTATTAATACTATAAGACACATGTATGCACTGAATGTAATATTATACCTTATTTATTACGGTGAAGGGGAATGGGAGGGACAAATATAGGAATGGGAGGGACTCCCTCCAATATATTGTAATAAAGTATGATTTTTTTGCATTTTAGCTAATTATTTAACTCCCCCTTCCAGTTCTCTCCAAATTTTTGACCACTACATTATAATCCTACTTAACTATTATTGTTTTTATATTATATTTTAATTTTTTTTTTTTTTTACAGTTATCAATTTTTCTTACTGCCATGTTGCTATTTCAAATACCAATATTGACAGTGTATGGCCAGACTACTACTGAATTATGGTACGGAATATTTCCACCACCACCATCATCATCGCCTGAAACTAATACAACAAATTATAATGTTCCGGAGGGGATATTCCAATCAACATCATCTGAACCGCAAACAACCTCGTCACTAACAGATGTAACAATTAAAAATCATATAGGATCGGTCTCTCAGTCAACAGATGAACCGTTTTCACAATTGAATACTGCATGCGAATGCCTAAAAGTTTGGCAGTGCGCCAACAATACTATTATTACAGATGGTACAGGTTTAATAGACATTAGGTTTGTTTTATACAAATATATTACTATATAATATAAACAATTTTACGAGCTAAAATAAAAATATTTTTAGAGCAAGAGGGTACACTCAATGCTCGAATTGGAAAAAATAATGTAAAGAGACTATAAGACTTCAAAAATTAGCGTCCATTGCAATTAATGAACTCGACATAATCAGTAGGGGGTTCACATCCCACATATATCATATACCAATTTTCAAACATAATTAAATTAATAATTAATAATTTACGATAAAAATAACACATATAAGCAGCAGAATTCCGTCAGCTTTTCCTTAACTGATGTGATATGTAACCGTAACAATGTTTCATGATTATTTTTTATATAAATATAAGATACTAAACATAAAAGTTTTAACAAAATAAGTAAAGTATTATTTCTGTATTTCTCGAGTTTTTTCTAACATACAAATGACAGTGGTGTCGAAGATCGGAAGTTCAAAACTTCTAAAGAGATATCCACAATAGTCAACAATAATTTTATTTATATAATTTATACCTATACACATTTTAATCAAGTTTATTTACTTTCATAATTTTGAAAGGGTATTTATAACTCGCTATTTTTTGAGAAAACATGAAATCTAAACATAAAAAAGAAGGTAAGATAATGGATATGGGTGCAGCCACTTATGTAGGTTAGAAGTTAGGAAGGTAGGATATAGACGGGAACAGTGATCCTAGTGGGTGGGGGGGGGAGTATGGAGAGATGGCATCCCTCTACTTTTTGTATTTACATTTTTCATCCCTCTACTTATTTTATCTAGAATAACACATCCCTCCTAAGACTTGTGTTTTAAAATGAAATACATATTATCATTTTTATATTTAAGAATATTTGTATACTTTTATATTCTAAGAAAAATATTTTTTTATTTTTGTGGTGAATATAATTGTTTTATAACATTCAGGTCCGGTTTATCGTACTATTTAGTAGTTTAGTATAGACCGTTTCGCAACCATATTATTTATACACGTGTTTAGAGCTTATAATATAATATTATTAATATCACAGAACTATAACCATATTGATGATAATAAGTAGGGACGTAGCAATATGCTAAAATATCTAAACGTGATTTCTGACAATATTTTGTTGATAACTACTATGTAGAAGTGTATATGCGAGTCATCAATTTCTAAATTTAGCTCATTAATAGAATACTGGTTATAACCACAATGCAACATGTATACTTTTGATAATGATTATGGTTTAGTAGTAGCGTGTCAGTAGTAATTAATTGTATTAGACATTAGTACAATAGTGTTAGTATTAGTACTGTTCAACACCAGTATATATTCTCTATGTATAGACTGTGTATAAACAAGTGTATATTAAGCATGCCTTTATTAAATTGATTAACCAAAATAAAGGTTAACCCAATCGACGAGTCATTTATTTCTATTCAAATAATAATAAAATCATCATCTAATAAAGCTGAAATAGTGAGTACAGAAATAAATAGTAATAATAATAATAGTTCAAACAACTCTAATGAAAGAATGCTAAGAATATTAACAATTATCTAAGTGTCTGGGCAAATTAAATTTTTTAGCATTTTATGATAAAGATCCTGAATAGTGGCAAAAAACCGAAAATTGGGCAGTAGTATATGCTTGCAGATTAAAAACCTTGCATACACAAGAGATTAGAATTGCTGTTAAATGTGCAGAATGTAGTGTACATACGAGGTTTAGCTATTAAATAACGAGACTGCGCACGCAGAGAGCGTCTCAAAAAGGTTAGGGGAAAACCGAATACAGCACTGGTTAGCTGGAAGTGTCTATTATGCCAGTACAAAATTGGGTTTTTGTTGGTGCATTAGTATTTTTTCTGTAGCGTTTAGAAACGAACATGTTTTTTTCTCTTGCCGAAAACGATGTGTGACGAAAAACATGAGCAACGGATAAACGTAAAATTTTCTCGTTTAACTAAAAAATACTCCAACTGAGTGCTATAAGTTGTTAAAAGAGGCCTATAGTGAAGATTTCCTATCTCGGGCGCGTGTTTTTGAGTGGCATAAATTATTTTCTGAAGGTCGAGAGTGCACCGGAATCCANCCAACATTACTATTTGACAGTTTTGGCAACATTGCGCGAATGAGTTCGTAAGAAACGGTCGATATTGTGGAAAAACAAGTCGTGGATCTTGCACCAGGATAACGCACCTGCCCATAACGCGCTGTCTGTGAAGCGTTATTTGGCCGCTTAAGGCACTCCAGTACTCGAACACGCGTCTTACTCACCCGACTTGGCACCCTGCGACTTTTACTTGTTTCCGAAGATAAAGTCTGCCTTAAAAGGAATCCGGTTTGAGTCGATGGAAGAGGTGAAACAAAAATCGATGAAACTCCTGAATGGTCTTACGAAAACAGACTTCCAGCACTGCCTCGAGCAATGGAAGAAACGAATGAAACTGTGTGTGAAGAGGGGAGGAGAGTATATTGAAGGGGAACATTTGGTTGTGGAATAATTTTTAAAATAAAACCAACGATCAGTCTCGTTATTTAATAGCCAGACCTCGTAATTATAGAGCTAGAGATAAAGATAAAAGACAATCCTTAAGAATAAAAAATCCATAAGCATAAAATTAGTGAATATTATAAAAGATATAAACAAGTTTTAAAAGCACAAGAAGAAACTATTTTGCCAAAAGCTGTGTTAAGTAAAATAAGAGTATTTAAAACTGTATATAGTATTGTTCAAAAACCAGGACCATTTACTGATTTGCCATTTGACATTCAACTTCAAAAGTTAAATGGATTGTATATGATTGGATATGGCTTGCATTTTACACAGTGATCATGCTTGTGCTAATATTGCTAGCCATATAGCAAGAGCAATGAAGCAGAAGTTACAAATTTTCTTGTTAAAAATAATTTTAAGTAATTTAGTATTACTTGATGAAGCTACCACAATGTCAAAAAAGACTTGTTCAGTTGTTTGTAGTAGAGCTTCCACAGATGACAAAAATAAAAAAAAAAACCCAATAAAAATTTTTTTTGGATTTATTAGAATTGGAAAATACAAAATCTGAGACCATGGTTTTGCAACTTTTGTGATATCTACTCAAACACAAATTTTCTCATGAATACTTAATGCAAAATTGTATTTGCTTTGCTTGAAAATATGAAGCACTTTGTTTATACTTTGATAAATGCAGAGTGAACTATTGACATTTTGGGAAGAACTAAAACCCCAAAGCATCTCTTTATTTACGTTTATGGTAGTACAATGTTGATATAATTGTTATACAAAACAATAATGAATATAAATTTAACAGAAGATTTATAATAAGTTGTACTTAATAATTAATGGTTTTAAGATAGTATTTTGATAAAAATCGTAAATATTATTGATTTTCAAATCAAGTTTCACTTAGAAACGTTTTTCGTAAGCAATAGTTTATTGTAGCTTGCAGATACAACTTAATTATATGTATCCTACCTTCCTAACTTTCCATATACAACAGCGGTTCTTAACCTTTTGTAGAACACGGACACCGAAAGATTTTTAGAAATTACACTACCAATTTTTGTCGAATACCTTTTTTTTTTACAAAACATCTCATGTTATCATAACCAAAATGAATATAATTATTTTATATTACAAATTACAGAAGTAGACATAACAAAACATACACATTTATAATTATTTCTATTAAATTTAATTTTTCATAAAATTGTAATATAAATTATTTTATTTCTAATATTCTTAAAATTTAATTTTTATTTACTTAATCATTAATTTTTAATGCTATGGTTGATTTTGTATTTGAGTCACAAGTTTTTTAACATTGGGCTCAATACTGGAAAGCTTTAATCATAGTTCAGATTCTACATTTTCTATTAGGTTTTGAAACTTATTTTTAATACAAACAAGAGCGAAGAAGGCTTTTTCACATAAATTAGTGGCGGGGAATGGAATTAAAACTTTCAAAACTTTATTCGATAATTGCCAATAATCTTTTTGAACATGCAACCAAAAATTGTCTTATGACTGTTGATTGAGTTGAATTTTTAAATTACTATCTGTAGAAATTTCTACAAGGTTGTCTTCTTCCTATGAAGTCAGTCCATTTATTTAATGAATATCAATTTCAAAAGATAGTCGAATCCAATTTCTACTTATATCTGGAACAGAAAAATAATCACTGAAGCTACGTTGCATATCACCCGTATATTGTATGGAATATTTAGAATCTTTATTAGACAATTTTTCTTCAGTTGATTCAATAAAATTGTTAAGATTTGGAAATGGATCGTAATTCTTCTTTGTCAGGAGGCGACTCTAGTGTTCCAACTTTTTCATCATCGCTTCAATCTTATCTTCAACTTTTAAAATTATAAAATGTATTTTTGAAGACATAAGTGCATTTTAATGAGTAATTATATCTGATAAGTACGCTAATGCAGCCAACCAAGAATAATCATGTACGCGTTCATTAAACGAAAACGAAGTTGATTATGTTCACTATCCATATCTTTGCAAAGTTGTTCAAAAATTCTTGAATTAAATGATTTTTGCTTTCATAAAGTTTAAATTTTCTATAGCTTCGTCCAAAACTGTTATCAATTGCTTTGGTATTTGTTTGGAAACAATGGTTTCACGATCAATGCAACAATGATGATATGTGACTGATGATGTGACTTTTCGAATCTGTGCAATTAAAGGATGTTGAAGATTCTACAACACCCATCAGCAGTTTTTTTTTCGTATTGCAATTTAGTAAAAAATAATTGTTGGAAGATGAAATTTCACGGAATATTTGTTTTATTCCTTTTCAAATTATGGACGAATCTTCAAATCATTCTGACCGTTTTTGAGCTATTGATAGCTATTTAAAATGTTCTAATTATTTTTAGTCTTTATTTGGTTACACGTGGATCAAATTGTTTTGGTTTCAATAATAAATTGCGATTATTGGTAAAAAAAATGTTGAGAGTAATATAGAGTTTAAAGTTTTAATTTTAATGAAACTTAATTTGGTTAAAAAATTATTATATGTTTCGTGCAATGCCATTACCATGTCTGAATAATTAGTTGCTTAAGTTATAATTAATAATTAGTATAATAATTATATAGATAGGATTATTATTAGTAAGATAAGTATTAGCTAAAAAGTAGTTACTCTACCCTCTAAGTCGAGCACTGAGTTCTTGTGATGAGATATAAATCCGAATTATCCTAAAAACTCAGATAAAACTAACTAAAGATAAACTAAACAGATTTTAAACATAAAATTACAATAATTCTAAAAATTGGATTTAAAAATTCAAAGAATTTTTATTACTATTTTTAAATAAAGTTGAAAATAATTGATTTGTTTGTTTGAATTTATTGGTTTAAATTTAAACCAAAAAATAACACTAATAACAATATTTTTAATTTATATATACATATTTATATAAATTTTCTTTTAAACCAGCTTCGATATTGTGTAATTCGATTTGTTTTCTAAAACTTTGTTATTACATAGGCAAAATTTTAATAGTCCGTGTTCCCACTATTCGGAAAAGTGCTGTTACCTACCGGAGAAGTCTGCAGAAATTACAAACCAACAGGTCTATAAAGAAAATGTTCGTGAAAAATGTGGTAAATGGAACAAATATGGTGTCGGGTATAAAATAACCGGTGGCAAAGACAATGAGGCCGAATTCAGCGAATTCCCATGGATGGCGGTTATTTTCAATACTGATCCATACATGCAAGACAAAAAAGAGTACTTATGCAGTGGTTCGTTGATTCATCCAAAAGTTGTTTTAACAGTAGCCCATTACTTCAGCCCAAGGTGAAATTTATTAATATGTAAAAATTTACCAATATCCCAATGGTATTTTATTTTTATGGACAAATGATAAACTAACCTTCCTAAATATTATTACATATTATTCGTCTATAATCCACGATTGCTTTTAAATTATACAATTCAAATTTAAACAGGTATGTTTACTTAATAAATGGTGTATCTTTTTATTAAATATTATGTTATTAAATTTAAAAAGACTGACTTACTTCGCACATAAATGGGCCACTGTTGTAGGCAAAAAGTTTTGGAAAGCAGAGGGAAAATTTAATGTATATCTGTACGCAATGATAAACCATTGATCTAAAACAACCTCCTTAAAAAAAAATGTGTTACACTTGATACTTCGGTTCAAGATTTTTAATAGAATTTTTGTACACAGTAAAAAATAAAATTAAAATAAACATCTCTGCAAAACTAATACATTCTACGCTACATTCAGAATCTAAAAAAATCCTTAGATTATATTAGAATCCTATATGACATTTTCACTATAATATACTGTCCAAAATATTTTAATAATATACACGATAATAAACATATTTGGTTTTAGGTTTACAAAAAAAAATATATCCGAGGAAAATCTAATAATTCGTGCGGGTGAATGGGATTTAAAAACAGAACCAGAACTGATTCCTCACCAAGACCGCAGAGTTTCAAAAATAATTATACACGAAGATTTTGTATATTTAAACGTACACAACGACGTAGCATTGATTTTATTAACTGAACCGTTTACACAAAGAAGTAATGTTGGCACTATCTGCTTGCCACCACAAGGATTTCAATTTTACGATCATAGATGCCAAGTCAGTGGTTGGGGAGGGAATTCTGTTTTCGGTAAGTTTTCAGAGACTATTGTCTATTGATATAATTTATAAAATAAAATAATTGTATAATTAAACTTTAAAATTATTACATTATGTTTAATATGTACCTTAATATGTAACATTGATATGATTCAATGTTTTTCAATATATTGTTATATAATAACATACATTTAATGGCAACATTCAGGATGTTTTGTTTAGAATTAACACTTGTGCATTTATAATTGCATATACCCCGTCGAAAAATATTCGGTGATAGTTTTTTTTTTTTTTTATTTACCATAGACACACCTAATCTTTATCAAGCTATTTTGAAAAAAATCGATGTGCCAATCATACCCCACAAAATATGCGAAGAAAAGTTGAGACATACACGGTTGGGCGTGCATTTTCAATTGCATAACAGTTTCATTTGTGCCGGTGGTGAAATTGGCAAAGATGCTTGCAAAGTAATTTTTTTTTAATTTATATTTATGGTCATTAAGTATAAAGCACTGATTTTTTTTGTCTGTATGTTTAAAATACTGAATCTATCGGGATATACTCCATTAAAATAAATTGAATATTTATTCACAATATATAAAAAAAACTGAATAAAGACGAGTTTTAAAAGCTACTATTTTTAACAATTGTTATAACGGTCTTAAAAAAAAAGTATTATTAAAGCGCGTGTTTCTGCATTTGTTTTAGGGCGATGGTGGAGGTCCTCTGATGTGTTTAATTCCCGGAAGACCAGAACAGTTTTATCAAGCTGGCATCGTCTCCTGGGGAATTGGTTGCAATAACGAAAATCCTGGAGTGTATGCCTCTGTCGCTATATTCAGAGGTTGGATCGACCGGCAGATAACTAATTTGGGTTTGGACAAGACCTATTACGATGAGAATTATGACCAGTCACACACGACGGAATTTTAATTATTCTTAATTTATTAATTTACTTCGGGTTTTTTAACCCAACCTAACATCTATGGGTTTAAATAATGTTTCATTATTACAAAAAATGAACACAGATAATGTACTTCTTTCAATGTTAAGAATGATCACCAACAATGGTGCCTTGGAAACCATTATACATTATTAAAATTAATCAACTGTTATAAGATATAGATATAATTATGTTATATTTTAATTTGTATATGTGTTTTGTCCAATGAGAATTGCAAATTTAAACTAAGTAATTTTATACTTAATACAAATGTGATATACTACAATAATATTCAAATAAATAGATAAATAGAACACAGCAAATAGAATAACTCTACTCATTATAATATTAGGTTTATTTGAACACGGAATTTAGGACTAGTTGTGGAGTGATCAGTGATTGATTTACTGCACATGAGCTCTGGTGGACTGATCATATATTCAGAGCTTTGCGGGAAAGTGTTGGAACGCGTTTCGAACCAACTCTCGAATTGTCTATGATTGTAAATTATAGATAATATATTAAACCTGATAAGAATGAATCTTGTACAATGTATATAAGAGCATTTTTTACGCATAAAAGATGAAACATGAACAGTGAAACGGTTTTACATTCTAACGCAAATCATTGTTGGCATAAACAAGTAACAATAAATACATAACAGGATCTCTGACTTCTAGTGCTCATCCGAATCAATTGATCGTTTTAACTGTCAGAAACGAATTCCAAACTGGACAATGTCGTGTTGGAAAAACCGCCTGACTGTTTGAGTGCGATTTTAGTGTGTGGGAACGGCAAAAATCTACTGCGCATGAGCCCGCCAGTTCTGTGACAGTTTGATCGTGTATTGAAAAAATCTTATGAAATACCAATTGTATTGTTGTTGCTTAATTACAACCACGATTTTAGATAGAATAGTTGCACAATGACAATGGTATATAATATAGAATAGTATAGTATGGTAACCTATATAATGGTGGTTTTTCATCGAGAAATTCTTACACAATTTAATATTTACTACCTAAATTCTAGGGCTCCCGATGTAACAGCCAAATTGTACCCCTTTTTAATTTAAACTTCATTCGGAGGAGAACAATTTTTCGTGGTCAATTTCCGTTAACGGTAATAGACGAATTTTACCCCCTCGTTATTTTTACCTCAGGCGTATAATTTTGCAAATTACGCGATAAAAATTCGGCAACGGTAACAAGCAAATATCAACCCTTAAAGATTTTTACCTTTAAGCGGGGGCAGTAAAATTTCACGAGGAAAAATGTTAACAACAGTAACGGGCATATTTTAACCCCTTTTAATTTGTATAAATTCCTCTTAAATTAATTTCATTAAGTTCTCAATCTACTTAAACATACGTTTATTTATCAATAAATACGTAAATAAATAAATACCTAGTTAAATAAGGTATATCTAAACTTTTTATATGATAGAAAAAATATTAAAAAGTCTCTTTATTATACTAACTGTAAATATAAACTAACACTTGTAATAAATTCAGAAGTACAAAATTTATTATAATAGTTGTACTTACTAAACTTTTGACATCTGATGAGATGTATTTACTGTTCGATGATACGACCTTGAAGTTAGCCCCCCCCCCATAATTTGTCCGATCGACTTCAAACCTAAGCCAATATTTCAAAAATAAATTGCAAATAATTACAAATTTGTTTTTACAATTTGCAAGTCGCACAAAAAGCCGCAAATTTGATTTTTAGTTTCCACTATTTTGCATTATATAAACTGGGACAAGGACACCTGGCCGCTCGATTTATTTGGTTTTATATTGGTTATTTCGATGTATTTAATGGTTTTAAAAGTTAGTTTGCCGTGTTCAAATTATTAGCTAAATTATTATTTTTTGTGCTACGGTAAACGGTACCTTGATTTGTTGAAAGAGTACACAACCACAAATCACGTCCGGTAGATACAGGAGAAAACGTTTTATTTTTAACACAAAAAAATCCATCGAAGAACATTTTCGTAAAAAAAAAAGTGTAAAAATGTTGTATATCTATGAAGTTTTAATATGTACCCGAGATTCTCAATAAAAAAATTGATCATTTCATCATAACAATAAATTATTAATTTAAATTGTGTAAAATTGTGTACATCAGCGTTCTATTTAAGGTGACGCTTAGATACATGAGGTGGTCAGTGTTTTGCAATTTTTTCCTGGAAATTCTATATTAAAACGTTTCTTGGCGTCATGGTTTCATATAGGTAGAACCAAAATATATGTATTTTGTTCGGGTTAGATATTAATAATATACTGTTATAAATTCATAATTTTTAGTGCATTGGTTAGTTTGCTTTCTACATTATCGACTATAATTGCTAACAAATTCTATAAACATGTTGTTACATGTTACGGGAAGTGTACAAATAGAGTGGCGAAAAATGTCTTATCATTTATCAGTGGCCCCAAGATTGATTAAAAATACTACTTTTATTACAAATTATGTTAGAAATAGTTTGTTATGATTTTTTTTCAATAGTGGTAATTTATATACTTGAAAGTTGTAATACTTTATTATTACTACAATAATTAATAGTGATAAAATAATTCTATACGCTATGTGTAATACAATTGTATACATCTTTGCATCAATAAATATTACCAAGTACTACAAATGATAATACAGGAAGCTCAATGAAAATCTACTGGCGACGAGGTGCTTAAAAATTTCGGGGATTATCTTTTTTTCCTTATTACTTAAATTTGTTGCATAAAACAAATTATTTGACGCCATAAACACACCAAAATATACATTATATTTGCCTTTTCTTTTTCTAGACGTGATAACATTTTTAAAACATTTGAGCTTAGTATCTATAGATTTATTTTACTAATCTTTTACGTAATTTTTATTCGATGGGTACATTATGGATAAAATTGTTAGTCTAAACAGAAATGCTTGAAAATTAAAAAGTAGTTAATAATAAGTGGAGACCGAATTTATATATTTAATAATAATAAAAAAGAAAGGTAAGATAATAGGGACGGATTCAGCTACTGGTGTAGGTGGGAAGTTGGGAAGTTAGGATACAGATGAGAATTAAATGTATATCTGTAATCAACGACAAATCATTACTTACGAAAATACGATTCTGGGCGGAATTCAGTTGATAGTGATATTTTGTATTTTATTTTTTTTACATATTTTCATGTTTCTAAATAAATATTTCTTCTTAGACATTTCATAACAAATATTAAATAGCAAATAATTGTTAGCACATGACATTCCTTTTAATTCATTAGGACGAAGAACAAGTTTTACTAACCTAAACTAACCGTTTTATTTATTTTTTATTATTTTAATCTTTTTTTAACAATCGTTGTTGTCATGGAAACGAACATTGTTGTAATAATTTTACCATAGTATGATATACATTATATACTATTTATTGTATTGCTGTCACATTTTAGAAGTACGCAATGATGAATGAATTGTTGACTGTTTACTGATCTACTAATGATGTGATGTAATGATAAAGTTTAAATAAATACATGGTCTTTAATTTATTATTTTTAACAACATAAAATATGTATACATATATTAAAAATGATTATACACAAAAAACCTGTGTAATGGAGCGCTCACGGCGTACTAAAACGGTCCTTTTCAGGACCAACAAAATCATTATCTGACGAGGTAAAAGTACACCCAGGTAACTACTAACATGGGCCCAGAATGTGCCTTTTCTTCGTCAGAAAAATACACTTCACCAATGGAAGGTGACTCTCTGGCAAGGCGTATATAAACGGGTGCATCGCCGACATCTATCACATCATCACTCCTTCTGACACTTAGTAGATCAATTTTTCCTATTTGTCAATATCCTTGGTTTCAGTTTCTTGTGTTGTTGTCTCCTTTGTAACAGGCATTCAGTCTTTTTTAAGGCTCAAAGGAAAAGCTCACCGTTACAGAGCTGTGATGCGCCACCGCGGTGGCGGTTTTCACAAAATGCTTTTATCATCCAAGTACGTATCCGTACTTAAGGACAGTGATGATTTAATTATGATTTTGTTAGGAAAGCTTGTGAATTATTTTTATAAAGGAATTATTATTAACAACTTACAAATTTTGGTTTCTATTAATATAATTTGTGCTAATGTTCCTGCTCGCTGTTTTATGTTAAAGATAAAATATCATTCTGGTTATAATTCATGTTCACGATGTATTAATAAAGGGCAATATATGAACAATCTAGTTTGTTTTTCATATTCAAATGTAAATTCTGCTCCAAGAATTGATGAAAACTATTGAAATTAAACAAATGGAGAATATCATATTTCACCTAAGCCTTTAATTATTACTGAGCTATCTAATTTTGATGATACAAATTATTTTATTCTAGATTATATTCATCTCACGAATTTGAGAGTAATGCGCAAACTATTGTGTTTTTGGGTTCTAAAAAGCCCTTCAAATGTTTGACTTTCTGGGAAAAAAATATGCGAATTGATTGAATTATTATTAAAATTTAGACCATTTTTTACTTCGGAGTTTTATAGAAAACCTAGAGTAGTTGAAGATATTCTTCGATAGAAGTCTACAGAGTTTCGATTATTTCTAATTTATATAGGACCATCTATACTTAAAGATGATTATTATAATAATTTCAAGTGTTCAAATGTAGTTGTAACAGTTAGCATATGATGCCATAAGGTCTGTGCAATTTAAAGTATTAAATGCATAAAGTAAAAATATGATGGATAATGTCTAATGTAAAATTTAAATTAGTAATTTTATTTAAAATAAAAAATTATAATTAAAATTTTACATTTATAAAATAGTATTGTACAAATTAACTAATCAACATTTTAATTTCATTTGAACATGTTAACTGGATTAATTATTTTTAATAATATACTTTATTGTGTACATAATAGTACATACTATATAACTTATATTTAAGTATCCAAGTAACGGGCAACTAAAAATACATATTAATTTTGTATAAACATAATTTTTTATATTTTTTTTCTTTTAAAATAAAAATAAAAATACTTAATTATGTCAAATTCTCTTTTGAAAATTAAACGTTCTAAAATTAATATATATATTGTAGGGTACATATTATCTGCGTCTTTCCAGAACACTAAACATGTATTATTTGTAAGTTCCTTCTCAGTATATTATACAATTAAATCATTAAACAAATTATTGAATTTTAGAATGTATTAAAACATCGCCCTGATTTAGTAAACAAATACACCGTTAAAGGTGTCATGGATTTTGAATGGACGAGATATTTATGGAAATTAAATCAAGTGATTATATTACTTAATATCACTTTAAATATTACACATAATTAAGTCTGTTAATAATGTATTTTTAGAAAATCGTTTAAACCAATTTTGTATAAATTTAGTCTCTAGGTGGTGTGAAACATCATAATCAAGATACAGTGGCAATATTTATTGATAAATACTACATAGGTACTTACGATGAATTTATAAACTACTTAAGCACTGAGTACAATTTCATAATTAGTTTATGGCCATTGAAATATAAACGCCTGATTTGGAACGATATTCAAAATTATTATGACAATCATAAAGTAAATAATGCAAGAATTATAACTGTAGTAATAGTAACTATATATATATATAATGACAATAACTAATAGTAAAAGTATAAGCATTTATGGCTGAATGTATGAAATTCAGAAATTGTAATAATGTAGGTATTTTATCATCAATTTTTACCAGGGTTTAAAAATCGAAAAACTTAATATATACGTGAGGTCGTAATCAATCGGCAAATAAATAGAATATCAATGAATAGAATACTATGTTATTGATGTTCTTTTTTCAGAAGCGTAAAAATCATTTAAAAAAAAAAAGTTTATATTAAAGTCACTGATCTGCGTCAGTGACCACTAAATTCGGGCAATTCAAAATTTTTCATATTGCCGATAGTCCATAATAATAATTAAATGTATAAGTATAAGTATATGTATAAGTATACGTACAATATTTGCTTACTTACATATTTTTAGTTGACATTTGTCCGTATGGTTTTTGACGTCAACAACTGGGAAATCGGTCACATTGTTTTTGCTGTAAGTATCTACCTTATTTAACAATAATAATAAACCTACATGCAGTGACGGCGCGAAGTATTCTTATCTTAAATTAATATTTAATTTCCACCCACCTACTAAAAATACCCCAAAATTTACTAATTATTTATTCTTTTATTGACTTTTCTTTTGTAAAAACAATGATTTTTGTTATATTTCTGAATACCCAGACACCATAACCTACCTAAAAACGCTTATCATGTGGATTATAAAATGTTTTACAAAAATCAGCATTTAAACAAACATTTTATTCTAGCCATTGGCATTAATTATATTTTGAAACTAAAAATGTCTCCACATACTTATATTCTTTCAATGGGTTCCTATTTTCTTCTTCTATAATGTTGATAATATTATCTATATAATATAATATTGTATAATAATTTATAGTATGTATGGGGAATCAATATTTTATAAAATTATATTTTTATTTTATCTAGATACAAAGCTGTTGAGCAAAAGCAAATTAAATTACTTTACTAATTAACTTTAAATGTAAAATAATTATTTGCATAATTTAATTTAAAATAAGTGGCACTACTAATATCATCAATATTTACTATTACTTATATAATTATTAGATTAATGCAAACTGCTTTTTAATTAAGTACTTAACTCATTTTATATTCACCCTATACAATCTTTAGACCAGGGACTAGAACTTTTAAGATTTTAAGGGTTTCCGTTAGATATAAAAATTTGAAAAAAAAAAACTACCTAATAGAATAATAGCGGAACTTATTTATAGATATTTATAAATAAATCTATTTGTATTCTTTTTTAATGGAATTATGTAATTCTTCAGTAAATACTACAACTAGCGGTGTATTTAGGTTTATTTATTTTTCATGGGGAGAGTTCGAAAAATTTTTAGAATACAGAACCGTGGGAGGCTTCACCCCCACACCCCCTAATAACTCTTTATTAAATAAATATACCATATTTATTTTATAAGTCGATGTAAAATTTTTGCAATACTATGGCAAGTTCCATGGCAACTTAGCGATTACACAGAATGGAAAAGTAAAACATTTAGGTTAAGATAATATTAAAAATTACCTATCTACAAAAACATTATCCAAAAATAAATTACATAACATTTTATTCTATGATTACAAAACAAAATCTAAGCGTCATTTCGTCAATAATAACATCCACATTGAGGGGTATGTCCCGATTAATTGACATTAATGCCAGTCCATTAAGCTTATTTTAAATACAAAACAAATTTAAAATATAATTAGGTAATAATTATAAAATTCATGAAACTATTGATAAAAAATAATAAAATTAATACGATAAGAAATGTTTACCGCACAGTAACATGTATAATTTTTAAGCTTTTTTCATCATCAATACGATCAAAAATATCCTACCATAAACAGTAGCCGCTAGCTGAGTTTCCCTGACTGCCATCGACCTTTATGACAAAATTATAATTTACGAATTTATTTAATTTTATGTTGTAATAATCATCATATTGCCATCTATCAGATATACTTTACGCCATCGTAAAACTGGCCAGTAAGCAATCTATAATATTTATAATCAATGGTTATACCTATCAATTACCTGCTAAAAGGTAAATGATTATAAAATAAATATAAAATTGTATCGATGGTCGACCGTGCGAAAATTAATTTGTTTTCAATTTTACTGACAGTAAATTAGTATTATTTTTCAAAAACAAAATATTCGTTATATTATCATCACTATCTTCTCCTCGTGCAGTATATAAATTTTTTTTAGTTTCCCAAGCGGTTTCCAAAATATTTGGGAAAAACCATGTTAAAACGTAAGAAAAACGGGACATTTACGAAAATAAGGCTTTTAATATTTTAAATTTTGTTATTTGTTGTAATTTATTTTCAAATATCCCTAGATACTTTAAATTTGAACATACAACTAATATTTGATTTTTTTAGACATAGTAAAATTTTCAAAATATTTTTTTACCATTTTTGAGCTATTTATAGACATTTTAATTTTTCAAGTTATGTACGTAATTTTTATTCAGTACGTACTCGGTGGTAAAATTGTTAGGCTTTAACAGAAATGCTTGAAAATTCAACAAGAGTTCCTTAAAAGTCGTACTTTTTAGTCAAAAAACAAAATTTGAGTTTAACGTGGTTTTTTTATAAAGAAAATTTAAAATCATGTGGAACAAATCTAATTTTTAGTTTTGAACATTTCTATATTACTGATTTAAGAACTATAGTGAAGTCAGAATTAAGTAGACTGACTTATTTTCGAAATTGTAGCTTTTTGAAGTTCTGATATAAGTTATGTTAAATAACTCAATAATGACAAATTTTAAAGTGGTTTTCGTAGTCTAGTGGTGGTATTTGCTTGTCCCAGATATCATGTAAGTTCAAACCCAAGTTCCGAAAAGTATTTTTTTCATTTGTTTTTTTTTCCCTTCTACCGAAACAGGAAAAGAACAAATGTATTTAGAATGCACTTAGACCCAAACCATCGCTCACTAATTTGATCTACTCGCACTAAAAATATTAAACAAATATTATTAAAAAAAATATATAATTAATATGTAATTATTTTACAAAAATATGACATATATATTGTTGAAAAAGCCATACTATTGACCGAACTTCGCTCAGAATCTTTTTTCGTTAGCAATGGTTAATCGTTGAGTACAGATATAGTAATTAAATTCAATTTCTCCTCTATCTTCCCAACTTTTCACCTACAACAGTGGCCCACCTATATGAGAAATATATCCATCTTTTTTTAGGTTGACTTTAAAATGATTTTAATTAATTAATTATATATTTTTTTACAGACCTACAAAATTTGTAAATAAATTGGGGGTCTATATTCTGAGAAATAGGAATTTTTTTCAATAGCCTAGAAGCGCCTTTTAGGTTAATCCGGCTCTGGATCCTTTTTAAACATAATAAATCAATAACTCCCAATTTTATGTTGTATATCTAATTATATAGCTAAATGAAAATATAAATTACACTAAGATTATTACAGATTGTTATTGTTATTGTTATTATTATTATTTTATTATTATCTTATTGTTATTTGTCTAAATATAATAATGTAATTGTATAGCTGTTCGAAAAACTAGTTCCAAAAACATGCGAATATTTTCGGCAATTATGCCTGAATACAACTGATGGATATACGAACAGTTCTATTCACAGGATAGATGTAATTAATGGTTTTATTCAAGCTGGACGTAAGCAAATTATTTATTTTATTAAGTGTCATTAAAAAGTGTGACAAATTTATTAGCATTATACTATATTATTTTTATGACAGGTATATTTACTCGAACAGCTTATTTAAAAAAAGAAAACTACTTGCTCAAACATGATAGAAGAGGCATGTTATCTTTCGTTAATAAACATAAATATTTTAATGGTCCAGAATTTGTCATCAGTCTTCAACCGAATTCGTGGATGAACGATGAATATGTAGCATTTGGGTGAGTAAATAAAAAATTTAATTAATATTAACGTAATTATAAAAACATAATAATATTAATTATCTACACATTATGGTACAGATATGCAGTCGATGGAGAACAAACCTTAAAATATATCGAAAAATTTTCTGACACAAATGAAAGCCTTAACCAACAAATACGGATAACTTCGTGCAACGTTATAGTTAAAACCATGGATTCACTCCACTCCAATACTCGTTCCTCCGAAACCGAAATAGAATCGTTTTTAAGTTCAATTATTCACACTGGCATTTTAAAATCAATGTATATAAACGTGTATGGAAAACCCGAACCACTACATAAGCCTTTACTCTCGGAATATGAATACATGAAATCAATAGTTATGATTATTATGAATAAAGTTTGGAATAAAACTATATACAGCAGTTCACAACTGAATAAAGTTTGGCGTCAAAATTTTTACAGCAATTCACATGTGCCACAAAAGACATTAACATCTAATACTTCATCCGATTGGGATACAACAAATGAAATAAAATCTATAATAAAATTACGACCATATTCTAATAATGTAGATAGAAACAACAATTCTAGTATAACTGCAAGTCCAATAACCAGTAAATCAATATTATTAAAAACAAAATACAGCAATAAAACAACAAACGGATGTTACATTTCTTTACCTAAAAAACATAAAGACTATAGAAGATGTAAACAAATATATGAAAGTATTTGCAAATAATAAATAAATATCTACAGTTGAAGTTAATTGTGATTATTTGATTGTATTGTTATTGATTTATTTATGGTCTTTCCACACAATAATTATTTTTAGATTCAGAGTATAAAGAGGGAAAAAAAATATTGTAATAATATTTACAAAAAGCACAAGTGAAATAGGTTAACAGTTTACAAGTATCGAGACAGTAGGCGTGTGCGAAGAGACCAACTATTGTTGGTACTTCAGGCTTTTCAGGAGTTTTAAAATTAAATTTTGACGAAAACCCTAAATATCATGGCCTTTCAAAACATGTACAACCAAACTTTACTCCGAATCTTTTTTTATTAGCAATATTTTATTATTGAGTACAAATATAAATTAAATAGCTTCAGTTATTATTTTTTATTTTATTTAATTTTGAAAAAAAAAGCCACGTTGTTGTAAATATTAATCAATTTTAATTTTTCAGTTATTCCAATTTATTATGAAAAATACTTTAGATGTCATAAAACGTAACGACAATCACTATCAGTGACTACATGTTAAAAAGAACAAAATCGATTTCTTGTCATTTTTCGATTGGAGCAATATTTCTGTTAGAAAACATAGTGAACAAAAATTAAAAACAACGAAACCGCCGCGGTGCACTGTAAATATTTATCATTTTTTACGGTATCATCGCCAAAATTGTTTAGCCTTTTTTGAGCTTTTAAAGAATTTTAAGATTTCATCTATCATCCAACGAATTTACTATCTTTATAATACTGATGAATAGGTATCATTTAACAATCGTATCTTCTGAATGTTTCTGCAGTATAAATTCCACCGTAGCCCATAGGTAAACTATTATTATCTTGATTTTATTTCAACCAGACAAACTAACCAGTTATTATGGACAGTGATTATGGACTGAAGAT